CGACGATCGCAACCCTTTGTCTGCCTTTCATATCAATTGCTATATCTTTGAGCACTAAATCCAAACCTTCTCTATATTTAGTGCAATAGTCTGTGAATGAAATGCAACCCATTGTCGGCCAGTTGTCCGCGGGTTTAGTCTTCTCATTATACCACTCGGCCTTCAGAAATGAATGAAAATTAAAAAAAATAATTAAATATTCCTTTATACAATTCTTTATTCCTAACACAATCAATACCTCAACTGGTATTTGGGTAAACGCTAGACACCGCTCGACAGCCATGATATCGGTTTCAGTGTCGGTCACTCCCAACACAAACCGTCCCATAATAAGAGTGATGTTCACGGCATAAGAGATGGCCAGAGCGGACACACCAGCGCCCACCGTATGCCTGAACGCCACGGCAAACACCGCCGACAATAACACTATACTATAGCCCAAGAACTCGAGCCGTACGGCGAGCCAACGCTCGGACACCAGTAACGGGTATTGACACCTGTTTTGTGCGTCCAGACGGCGGTGAGACTCACGGCGGAAGTCACGGTCGGCACCGAAGGCACGGATAACTGCTGTCCCGTTATATGTCTCGGCGAAGTGGCTTATAGTGCGGGTTCGGGCACCGGTGTCCAGGTGTCGGATCTGTCGTAGACCTGCTATGTATAGCCGCTGACACCACACGTACACCACAAGTATCGGTAGGACTGCCAGCAGTATTAGTGGTGTTTCCAGTGATATCATAGCCAACGATACGATTATTTGGAAGAATTTCATAAATGTTAGTCTGAAGTCAAACAGGATTTCTCCGTCAATCAGTTCCATGTCTTCAGCAAAGAGATTGAGTGTTCGACCCATTGGTGTTGTATCTATGAAAATAGGTTAAGGAAATTATTAACAACTCTCTCTCTCTCATCAAACAATACAATACCGAAGTAACTGATGGTCGCTCTCATCATACGCTCAATCATAAGTCGATGCAATTGTTTGGCTGCGGAAATACATCCCATACTAATAGCCAGTTGAGCGCCAATAACGAACAGTATCTCAATTAAGCCAAACAACACAAACAAAGCCAGTCTATGGTTACGCCACCAGTTCTGGTCAGACATTTTGTGATCGATAGCGTCCGAAGACCATTGGCTGAGCCACAGTCCCGACGCCACTGACGCCGCATTTCCCACGATATACGCCAATAGTATAGTTCCTATCCATCGGTAGCCAATCAGTTGAAAGTATTTCTTAAACACATCCATTTTAGCCGTAGGGGTCGCCGGCTGTTCCTCTTGGATCAGTTTGCCATCACTTTCTTTGGCATTCTCTCCGACAACCAATTTATTGGTGTCATTAATAGATATCTGACTTCTTAGTCGTTGGACATTGTTTTCATTGTTTGCATCAGATTTATGTGATTCTTGTCTTTCAATCAATGGTTTCACTGTTTGTTTGAGTTTTGCCAGAATTTGCATCTCTTTCTCATCGATGTCTTCGGATTCCTGTTTAACGACATATTCGGCAACAAATTCAGCGAATTCTCCACTTTTTGCCATCAGTTCATCAAATGATCCGAAATCACAAACGAATCCCTCTTTTAAGACAATTATTTTGTCCATTTCTGGCAAAACTGACGCCTTATTTGTCACTAAAACACGTGTTTTGTGGCGAAGAAGTCCTTTCGGACCAATTGTTTGGTCAAATAGATGTCGTCCGACGTGTGGGTCGACAGCACTCAACGG